GTTTTTAGTTTAATTTTGTTTTTCTAATGGGGAGTATTTTGTTTTACTAACATTCCTAACCTCATAATATCATCCTCCACTTACACTTAGAGTTCCATATAAAATATTTTTATTCTTAATTTTGTTCCATTTTGTTAGTGATTTTGAATAAATTACATAATTTAAGTAACATTATCAATAAAACTATATTTAATAAAATTTTGTATTTCATTTTAAAAACAGAATGCTACAGGTTGTTTTCAGAAATATTTATATTTATTTCTAGATTTAGATGGGATATAATAGAAATGTTATCCCTGTAAGTTTGTAATTGTTCTTTCTTTTCATTCATATTAAAGTGAGACAATTACTGTAGTAGGAAATTTGTCTGTATGGGAAATCACATTTTCATACCTAAAAGTTGTATGAAGTAAAATAACAGTTTTAATAATAAAAATGTTAAAATTAAAATTAGTTACTGAGTGAAGGAAAGCAAAAATTACCAAAAGAAATAACTAACAAAGTTTGTGCTAAAATTGCAAATAGTTCTTGACTTATGACCATTTAATGATGGTTTGAAATTATGACGGCCTTCAAAAAAGTGACTTACAACCTATCCTCAACGTTACAACCATTGCTCCTCCCCAATCAGCCAAGCAAAATAAAATGGAGAAGCTGGATTTGTTTAATAACCACATGATTCACTTAATAACTATGTGACTAACAATGACAATGATAAAAAATAGTAGTAAAATTAGATCCAGTTGTGATGACTCAGTTAATGACTGCATCACTTAGCCACTAAATTCCATTCCCAATTGTGATTTAGGAAGCTTCTAGACAAATTCCGGGGCCATGGCCCTTAAGTTTCCTGAAAGTTTGGAAATATCACTGGCCTTGATTACCAGCTGCAAAAAATGCAGAACCAAAATTAACATATTACTTTAGGTAAAAAAAAAAAAAGTGATAGTATTTTAAATCAATTAACATGTAGGACACATGGTTGAATTTTCTATGTGTTCTTTTATATTTGTAATAGATAAGAGAATTCTGAATCAGTTTGGTAGGATTCTGCCCTTCTCATCAGAATTAAAAAGTGCAATCCATCTTTTCAACTTATGCCATTCAGAAAACACTGCTTGCCTTCGTGCCAGTCCTAATAATTTTAATGAGGCTTATACAGCACCATTTGTGGTTGATTGTATCAAACAATTGCAAATAACTTTGATGGAAACCTATACATGTACTATGGAAATCTATGTACTATTAAAACCTATACATGTACTATTAATGTGCCCTATTGCATCTAAATGCCTAAACCACTGCTTTTGTCCCAATAACTACAAATTATATTTCTGAGATCCATTATTTATTTTCATGTTAAAAATAATTCTTGATTAAAAAAACCTTAGGCATGGATCATTGAGCTATTGCAGGCATGTCAAACTGCCGGCCCGCAGGTCAAATGCTTCACGCCGAAACCGCGCCAACCCCACTGCTGGCAATAGGGAAAAAGTCACAATACGTTGCACGACATCACGAATTTGACATGCCTGAGCTATTGTAAAGTGTACATACAAGAAAAAAATTGAAGCTATGGTGGTGGTTGGTCTGGAACATTAAAGATATTAATGTACTTATTTTTGTAGTCTGAGCCTTTGAATAAATATTAGAGTCCACTGAGTTTTTCATCTAATGATGATAGGAAGGTAAATGTTTGGCCCTTTTGCTTTGCATGTTGATCTCTGCCCAATTGCATGTTAGGTAACACTTGTTTCTATTTGATTTTAGACTTCGGCAACAATTTCAGGGAACTCCACCACTGCCAGTGTTTCCTCCTCCTCAAACAGTGGCCTTACTGGATGGGCAGCTTTTGCAGCAAAAACATCTTCTGCAGGCCCGTCAACAGCTAAGATGGGGTCTGCCACCCAGAGTACCGGTGGGAAGCCAGTCCCGGGCTCAAACAATCAGAAACCCACTGGTTTGTCAGGGCTGGCCACAACCAAAGGGGTAGGGTCAAAAATAATATCTGCCAGTAGCACAAGCCCTGGCCAGTTGAAGCCATTACCACCTCTGACATTGGGTAAAATGGGTCTCTCTCGTTCTGTGAGCAGTGACAATGTAAGCAAAATAGGGCTTCCTAATGCAAGCAGCTCAACCCCAGGCAACAGCCCAACTATTGGTGGGAATGGCAGCAGTGTGACAGCAGGGAGCAGCACTAGCAAATCAAGTACAGAATCGGGCAATCAGTCCCCATCGCTGAAAGGTCCAACTTCACAAGAATCACAGCTCAATGCTATGAAGAGGTTACAGATGGTCAAAAAGAAAGCAGCTCAGAAGAAGCTAAAAAAATAATAGGTCTATTTTTTTAAAAAAAATAGATAATGCTATCAATAGTTTAGTCTGCAAAGTGCAAACATGTCGTTCAACTCTAGCCAAATACAGTACAATCAATGATCTATAAATTACTGTTGTGTTTTCATTTGTCACCTGTGTGTGTATTCGCAAGAATTCACATATGTGCTGTCTGCTCCATCCTTGACATTTGCTGGCAAGACCATGTCTTATTTTACAATTTATATTCTATCGTTTAAGTTACACATCTTTCCAAAGAATATCTCACATACTGTATATACAATCTCTTAATACCAAAATCTTGTCTCCCTTTTCTTTTGTGCTCTATAGAAGTCAAGTAAGCCGATGTTTTCAATCTATTTGAAAATTAAACTTTAACCAGCATCTCCAACTGTTTAATTCTGGAAATTTATCCAAAATAGCTTACGAACTCTTGGTTTCATAAGACAGAATTTCAGTGTACAATATTTTTAGCCACTTGCACAATTCAGGTACTTCTGGAAGGCAGATCCATGTTAATAATTTTATATGTAAAGTATCTCAAAAGGAAGTGATTCTATTCATAAAAAAAGATTGGGCAGGATAGGAGTACCCAATTTAGAGGTTATCTCACTAAGCTGCATCATTTGCAATAAGTCTGTCAAAAAGCAGAATTAAAGCAATATTTACTTTTGACTTTCTTTGCTGTTTCTTCATAGAATGGCAGGAGGTATTTAGAACTTTGGAGTTAGGTTTACGGTAAAAGAAAAATCAGTGCTGCAAGCATTTTATTAGTCAGTCACAAAAATAAAATGTATGTACCACACAAATAAGGTGTACGTGTCTGTGTCTGGAGATCAGAAAGCAATAGAAAGATTATGGAGTATTTGCCACCTTATCATATGAGGGATCACTGAAAAAGTCTTATTGCTGAAATTCTCAATCCAGCAATGAAACATACGAGATTGATATGAATGAAGGCAAATATACATGTCCCAGAATAATGTTTCAGGAGCCAATCGGGATCAGTCATCAGAGATTTAGTCTTCCAAGCTTTTGGACTTGTGCTGGAGATTAAGACTGACTTTAAAGACGGTTTGTAAACTATCCTTGCAGGATTGATCTTAGAGACCATTTATAAATAGTTTCTTGAACTCTCTGACATATACTTCGCTAGTTCTTAATACATGGGGAATAGCATCAGATTTAATGACTTGTATTTTTATTTTTTAAATGATTTGGAAATTGCCTAGGAATATATCATTTATCATGAATGAAGGAAAATATATGTAATTGCTGTCCCACTCACGCACACACATGTAACTGGATTAGTGAGTTTATTATTCCCCAGCAATTCCCTTCACCAAAACCCCAGAACTGTCAATTAAGTCCAGCCACGAAAAGACCAATGCTAATCCACAGATCAATGACCAAAGACTCCACAAGGCACTTGAAAGTTTCTCAATCAAAATAAAGCCACAAAGCAAACTTAAATCCACAGTACAAGAGAGTTCACAAGGCAAGAAAAGTCCAGAGTTTCCAAGGCATGATCCAAGTCAAGGCACAGTGTCGGTCCAAAGTGAGGCAGGAATCACAATGACCAGAAAACACACAGCTAGGAAACAAACATGTTCACAGCATGACCTCCATTTGTCTGCTCTGCTAAATAGCTTCCCATGCAGCCCATCAAGAGCGAGGCTTTCTCCTCATGAGTAATCTGGCTGACCTTCTCTACTCCTGCCTTTTCTCTGCCCTACCTGTTCTTGGACCAGGAGCAGAAGGCATTTTCAGCAGAACTACAGTTCTGAGATAGCTGTTACGAAGTAATATTCTGTTGAAAGGTCAGCAAATAGTGCATTCAATTCTTGAAATTTTCACAAGCTTAGATCTAGAAATGTCTTGCATAACCAAAAAGGCACTTCCATTTGCAAGAAATCTCCAGTGATTTTTTTCAACTTCTCTGTACCGCTTCAGTTCCTTACACCTGACTCTAAACTGTTTCTAAGAGTATTTAGAAACCTGAAAACGTTCTATGGACAATATAGGGTTCTTGCCCATTCCTGATTAATTCACAGATCTACAAAAGTCAAACTCTTAAATTTATAGCTGGCATAGTTGGATTAGTTGTGTTGGGCTTTCGCAGCAAAGTTCAATAAGACATCTTGTGGCACCTAAAGGACCAACTGGATTATTATGTCATGAGATTTTTGTTATTATAGGTGGTTTAACATAGCAGTCCCCAACCTTTGCTGCTGGGCTGGGGGGAGAGAGGGGAATTGGGCCATATGAACCCATGAGTGATGGGCCAGCACGCATTCGCATGTGTGTAGCTCTACTTGCACAAGTCAAGCGTGTACATGCTCGTGCAGCCCGGTTCCAAATAGGCCACGGCCTGGTAGTGGGCCACTGCCCAGAGGTTGGGGACCCCTGGTTTAGCAGATTAGTTCAATATAATTAAATTTCTCATAAATCTGTGGAAGGCATTCCAAGAGTTCTTGTCCAGTCCAGTGTGACAAAAGTTTAAAAGTAAAAGCAAATGCACGCATTCCATCAAAAATTCTTCTTCACAAGTACTTCAATTCCGGATTTTGAAAGCTCTTAGCTTATTGCATTTTTTAAGGCACAAAAATTCAGGGGTGATAATATCACAACAAAAGTCTTCTGGTTCTGAGAATTTATTCCATCAGCAATCTGATATTTACGTGTATGTCATCTTCCCAAGATAATTAGCTGGCACGTATCCTTTTTGTCCTTCAACTTCAGCTAACCACCATTCTTTATTGCCACTCAGGTCTGAAAAACGAAGGATTTGAACTCGCTGATATTCGTGAAGACTGAGTTCCTGCTTACTCCTTGCTTGAAATGCATGAACAGCATAGAAAGTCTAAGAGGAACGAAATATAAAAGAGAGAAAGAGAATGAATGAACGTTCAATTCTACTCCCTATTTCAGTGAAAAACGGGGAAAAGCACCCAACCCAATCAGCAAATCAAGCAATATCTTACTATGCTTGTTTCTTTAAAAATCTTGTGTCGGATTTGGAATAATGTGTTTGAGTAATGTCACTAATATTAGGCCCAAATCCCTAAATTTATAAACTCTATACTTATTTCCCAATGAGATAAGTATGAAGCCATGAAACAGTGGCATATTAAAGTTATTTCTTGGGTCTTTAAATACTTATCTTAATGAACCCTGAGAACTATAAAACATGATATGCTCTAACTTAAAATGATCCTGTAGCAGTACAGGATCATATCCAGATTTGGAAAAAAGCAAGACCTAGACCAGATGTTTTAGTAGGCCTACTTATTTGCCTTTTTCATAACTGGTCATTTGGACATCATCTTCCTCTGAGATCAGTCCATACAAAAAGAGTTGGCAAGATTAATAGATGCTGTAATTAATTTTTCTGGAGAAGAAAAATGAACTGGCAGCTATAATTAGGAAGCCCTCAGCAGCAACTAACTCATCCCTGAATTCATCCCCTCTCTTTGGAAATCATGCTTACGTGTTGCTCATCCGTTTCATAAAAGCTCTCCAGTTCAGAGCCATTAACAGATTCTTTTTCACACAGACTATTATAGGAAGAGTCACTGCCATTTCTTTTGTGTCCTCTGGGTTTTGAACTGTTGTCATCCGGTTGTCGTGAAGAGATAAAAAGGCTGATGTTATCAAAGTCACCATCACAGAAATTGGTTTCCCCAGCATTTTTTGGTGCCTTGGCTGGTTTATAGGGTTTCAGGAAGGAAGAATAAACGTATCCTTTAAGAACTATATATAGGGGAGAGAGAAAAAGGCCAAGAGTATCAAAAGGTGTTTTTTATTTTATTTTATCGTAAGAACCTTCAAATATTGCAAATTAAGAGAGAGAGAGAGAGAGAGAGAGAGAGAGAGAGAGAGAGAGAGAGAGACTTCCGGTTCTGCCTCATAGCAACGTGGCCAATGGATTGCAGAGCTCCGCACCCCTAAATGGGTGCAAAAGTTGCCCAGAAAGGCAAAAAAGAAGGAGGGGCACCCCGATGATTGTGGAATGACAGAGGTAGATTCATTTGATCCAGGGGAAGCCAGGAGAAAGGCTAGCTGCACATCAGTGTCTAGCCCAAGCTACTAGCAGCCGAAATTCAAAAGCACGAACCAGAACGATGAACAACGTGCTTGGAACTGGGTGAGAATATCGATCTTCTCTCTTCTGTTTTGCAATTGATTCCCTGGAAAAGATCCCCAAAGCAAGAAATCCTCCAAAAATGAGAAGGGAGGGGACTATACCCCCACTCTTCCAAATCACCAAGCAGTGATTTAATTTTTACAGGGGAAAGAAATATACTGAAATGAAATTAACAATATTACAGTCTGGATAAATCTGAAAATTAAGAAAACCATTAAGATTTTACATCTGAAAGAGTTTTGATGAGACCGCCTTCTGCCTCAGATTTCCTCCCATAGACCGGTACGCTCCCACAGAGTGGGTCTCCTCAGGGTGCCGTCGGCCAAACAGTGTCGGCTGGCGACCCCCAGGGGGAGGGCCTTCTCTGTGGGTGCCCCCACCCTCTGGAACGAACTACCCCCCGAGATCCGGATGATTCCGGATCTCCTTACTTTCCGCCGCG